TTTCCTATGAAATCCCTGTCGGTGTTGAAACATCACACTCAACAGTAACCTGTGTAGTCTTCTCATTTTTTTCAAAGTCTGCTATGGTTTCTTTTTCATGAAAGACCACATCCCTGCTTCTGACTGTCTTCTCTTTATTGGATCCCATACCCTGTAGCCAAATTCTTCATCACCATATCTTACAAACACACACTGTGTAGCTTTACTGTCAAGCTTTGATCTCTGCTCTTTTGGCACATGCATGAATGCTTTACACCTAAAAACTTTCAAGTGAGAGTATGAAGTATCTTTTCCTGTCCACACTCTTTTTGGAATGTCAAAGCCCAAAGGAACTGATGGTGACCTGTTAAGTAAATAACAAGCTGTGTTGACTGCTTCACCCCAGAATGGCTTTGGTAATTTTGCCATCCTCAACATACATCTAACTTTTTCCACAATGGTGCGATTCATTCTTTCAGCTATACCATTATGCTGCGATGTTCCAGGTTCTGTCCTCTCATGCCTGATCCCATGCTTTGAGCAATACTTTTCAAAGCCTTTAGATGTGTATTCTCCACCATTATCAGTTCGAATACACTTCAAGGGTAACCTGTCATCCTTTCAACATGGCATGAAATTTTTGAAATACTGCAGTACCTACTTTTGTATTTCAACATATACACCAAGTCTTACGTGAACATCATCAATAAAAGTAACAAAATATCTGCTACCACCTAATGACTCAACCTCAATGGGACACATACGTCAGAATAAATTAATTTCAATCTATTTTCTTTTCTTTGAGAACTTTTACGAAAAGAAACTCTATGATGCTTACAACAACATAATCACATAAATCAAGAGACATACTTTGGTCAAGGGAATGAGAGACTGTCTTGCCAAAACCTGTAACCTTTTTTCACTCATGTGTGCTAGCCTCCTGTGCCACAAGTTTGCTGAAGCATCATTTTCAACGGTAGTTACCTGGTTACCATTCAATTGCATCCATGTCTTATACATTGTGCAGCATAGTTTTCCCCTTGCAACTACCATAGATCATTTGAGAAGCTTCCACTATCCATTCTTTTGTCAGCTTTCATATCCCTCCTAATCAAGGACATTAATAGCGAGCAAGTTCATTCTCATATTTGGAATGTGTCTGACATCCCTCAAAGTCAACATGCAGCCTATACTAGTTTGTACAATAATATCACCAATCCTAACAATCTGTGACACACTCTTGTTTCCCATCTTGGTACAACCAAAGTCTCCTGCTTTGTAAGTTGTAAACAACTCTCTCTTAGGAACACAATGATATGCCGCTCATGTGTCAACTATTCACTTAATGTCGGGATCACTAACATGATTACAATCACCATGTGTACAAATCAAAGTAACTGAATCACTATCTGAATTCACTGCTGCTACATTGCTATCATCTGAACTCTTACCTTTCTCATCTTTTCGCTCTTGCTTCAAGATTTTACAGTTTTGTTTTATATGACCCGCCTTACAACAATGGAAACACTTCACTTTACCTCTAGACTTGGATCTATGTTTAGACTTACCACGGCCTTTTGAGTCCTGACCTTTGTCGATGTTTTTACCCCTATTCTCTGTGACTAGAGCTTGATTCCCAGGGTCTACATCTTTTCGCCTTGCTTCTTCATTAAGCATACTGTCCTTTACCATCTCCAATGTCACCTTATAATCAGGAGCTGAATTAAGAACATTCACAACTAGAGTATTCCAGCTGTCTGGCAATGAACCCAAAAGAAATAACGCCTTCATTTCATCATCCATCTTAAGCTCCATAGTAGTCATCCGATTAAATATATCTTGAAAATCACTCAAGTGTTTTGTAACAGATCGTCCATCCCTGTACTGTAAAGTTGCAATCTTTTTAACAAGCATAACTTTATTCATACCTATTTTTCTTTCATACAATGCTGCCAATTTTTCCCAAACAATATGAGCATCTGACTCCTGCGCTACATGATGGAACACGCTGATATCAACCCATTTTTTGATTGTAGCCAGCGTCTTTCTACCTAGCTTCTTCCAGCTTTCATCTTTCATATCTGTTGGTTTAACCGAATCACCCAATACTGGCTCATACAAATCTTTGCAGTATAGATGATCCTCCATCATAGGCTTCCAAATTGAATAATTCGATGCTGTCAATTTTATCATGGAACCTGTATCACCCTCCATGATCTCAAACAGAATTTACTTCTATCCTGGGTTGCTTCTGTATCGATGTCTCAAAATAACCTTTGCTCTGATACCACTTGTTGTGCCTGAAGCAATAATCACAACAATACGGAAGCAATAGACAACAATCAATAATCAAATACGCAGGAAAAATAAAGCACACCAAGATTTACATGGAAAACCCTCCAATGTAGAGGGAAAAAATCACGGGCCACCAGAAAAATCTTCACTATCAAATAATAGTTATACAAAGTTCTTCTCTAGCTAAAACTAGAGCTAATCAACAACTAGAGAAACAATTGGAGAAATCTCACCAGATAAGTGACTCAACAAATACACCCTGGATTTGTTCTTAGAGAGCTTCAAACCCGATCTTCACCGTTCAGAATATAGAACTCTGAATCATAAACCTCCTGACAAGGTTCTAACTCAATCGGACCACGGATCGACTTCCGGTCAACCAACTCTCCCTTCTCTTTTTCTCTCTCTACTTTTCTTGGCTTTTCTTCTTTCTTTGCTTGGTTTTCGACACACACATAAAACAACCCCACCTCGTTTTTATTAAATAGCTAGGGCTCTGTGTAAAATAAAAGATAAAGGCCCATGGCCTTTACTTGGTCCAAAACCACTTACATGGGACTGGACCCCATTTTCTTAACAACCAAGGCAAAGACTAGTGTAGGTTGAAGCAATGCAAGGATGAGAAGGAAGAAAAGTTGGGACATAGAAAAGATGATACCATTATTAGATTGATCGAAAAAGCTTTGTTGCACAAAATTACCTTTGGCTTGCACGCACAGCTATATATGTAAGCTGTAAATATAAAGTAGTGAAGGTAAATATATTTATTTATTTAGAATCAAAATCAAATTAGTTTCATATTTCTACATTTCTTATAGAGAAGAGTTAATGGAAGTAATTGCTAGAACCAAGTACTCCTCCAAACAAATGGTACGTTGTTTCTTGGAACTCAAATCCTCAAGTCTTCTTTTTTTCATGAGTAAAAGACTATCTTATCGTATCACCAAATTTTATTTTTTTCAAAATTTGAATAGAAGACTAACTAGTAGGCTTGAAATTCATTTTCATCAACAACTCGTCAATCACATGAATTTTCCATATAAGCCTTCATCCATCTATTATATCTCACTAATTCCTTAAAATATTTATTTGTCCAATTCAATTTGAGTATAATTTTGTTTCATTAAGCTCTTTTTCTTATATGAAAATTGCAAAATATAATACTATTTCTTGCCAAATCAACATATATGCCATATTTCTTTTTAGATAGCATATATTGAAAATAAAAAAACTCTTTAGATGCTAACATGGCCTATTATATGAGCCATTCATTACATATTTTGTAAACGACAGTTCAACTTAAATTTTTATGTTTTGCAATGCATAAATTGATTTAACAAAGACAATTATTATTGTTGATATGATAAAAATAATGAATTTTAGTGGTTTTTATGTAAAATAAGACTTAATTAAATAAGAATAATGTTTTATGCTTTCAATTGGATAAAAAAAAAAAAGTTGATTTAAGAAATTTGAGAAAAGTACAACAATTTTAGCATTTTAGTAAAAAAAAGTATAAGTTAAAGGTATATTCTTCAAAATTGTCACTCAAATTCGTTCCAAGTATACTCAATACAATTACAATTAAATTTTGAATGATTTAAAAGGCAGTGAATGATGAAAGGTTGGAAAGATGAAATTGTGAGAAATAATGTCTATGAGTGAGTATAAAAATAAATGGTGAGTAAATAATAAAATCAAAAGATTATTGTGTGAAGTTGTGTTTATTGTAATTTGGTGTGCTCACCAATTGTATTCTGTGTTTGTAGTGATATTAGAATTGCTGTAACATTCCAAAGCGAAAGTGCTGTAGCAAATCGGTGCTATAGTAGATATTACGACTGATACTGAAAGTCAAAATTCTAAGTCTGGCCTTTAGTTACATTTCAAAAATAGGAAATCTTGAACATACAAATTGAGTGCTTAAACACAACTGTTTTATATCACAGACTTAAACACAATTGTTCTATATCATAGCTGATTCACAACAAAAGCTTTATTACTAGAGTGCTCAGACATTTCAATAGAAAGAAGAGAAAAAGAAATAGATTGAAAGCAAACACACATGCTTAGAATTATTATTCAAATTGTTAGCACCTTAATATTAGCCACTGCAGACTTCATGATCCCACAATTCTCCCAATTTTATGATTGAGAAAGGATTGGGCAATGGAAGTGATTCATGGGTAAGGCTTTGAGCAACTTGTCGCATGGTTGGCCGAAGTTGGGGACTGCCATTCAAGCATGCAAATGCTAGCTTTGTAGTAGAGACAATATCCTTTGCAACCTGGCTTACCGGTGGTGAGAGGCGTTGGTCTATCACATCTTTAAGTAAAATCAGTTGGTTGTCATTTGGTATCGATGTTGATGTTGATGCCAATGCCGATGATGACGATGGTAAACATGAAATCAAATCACCAGGATGCCTCCCCATAAATATTTCCATTGTTAGCACCCCAAAACTATAAACATCACATCTCTCATCTACTTTCATTGTATAAGCCAACTCTGTTTAGAAAAATATATCCAATCAAAGTCCTCTATTAAGCAAGAAATATATCTTATCAATACACTATTATGAAAGAATAAAGAATATTGAGAAGATTATAAAATAATATTAAAAAAAAATTGTAGATGTTTAGAAGATTACTAGAATATTGAAATTCATAGGTTCTAACAAAATTTTACATTTAGTTCATCAGTTTGATACATTGAGTATTGAAAAATTAAGTGTCAAACTTCAAAGATTAATTACACATTTGTTGCTTGAATTATAGTAAAATTCTTAATTTGATACTTAAAATTTGAAAAGTTACAATCATAATACTACTTGAACTTTGTTTTAACTCATCAATTTGCACACAAAACTAACAGTTTTAATTCAATGATGACATGTTTAAAGTATATTAAAAAAAAGATATCTATAAATACCTGGAGCTATGTACCCGAAAGTGCCAGCAAGTGAGGTCCAATTGGAAGAATCGGGCTTTAAAAGCCTGGCTGTGCCAAAATCTGAGACATGACCCTCATAGTCCTTATCCAAAAGAACATTGTTGCTGGAAATGTCTCGATGAATTATCGGCGGTGAATGGTCATGATGCATATAAGACAAGGCATTGGCCACTCCTTTTACAACATTTAGCCTCTTCTCCCAATCCAACTCCATTGCCTCGGCCTTGTTGCTTAACACCATTCTCAAACTTCCCCTTTCTACGAACTCATAAACCAAAAATGAGTTCTTTGGATGTGAACAAAAGCCATACAGCTTCACAATGTTACGATGCCTTATTTCTGATAAAGCATGAATCTCACTTTCAAAGGCTTTCAAGTTGTTGGAAATCATGCTATCTTCAGATTGGTGAACTTTCTTCACAGCAACCACCTCACCAATGGGTAGCGCAGCTTTATAAACAGCTCCGTAGCCTCCTGAACCAATGCAATTGTTGGAGCTGAAATCTTCAGTGGCTTCAATAATGTTCTCATAGAGTATTCTTCCACTATATCCCCACAATGTGAAAAAATCTCCAAGTTGTGCCTCGATTGACTCGGATTTTCTTGTTTGGTTCTTTTGGCAAAGAATAAGGCAACTTCCAGCTATGATAAAGAGCAAAAGAAGAAGACCAAAGAGTGGAAGCACAATGAAAATGATGAATTTGGTTCTTTTTCTATGACCATTGCTAGTAGCAGCGACAGCACAAGGCATTAGTCCAGTGGCATTACCACATAGTCCCTTATTGTTTCTTAAGGCGTCAAATGAAGCCTCATGAAATGCTTTAATGTTAGGAATAGGGCCTTCTAATTGATTGTAAGATATATTCACAACAGTCAAGCTTTGCAAATTATTAAAAGAATTTGGGATGGAACCATTGAGCATATTGTAAGAAAGGTCCAATGTTTCCAAGGAATGTAATTTTGCAAGCTCTTGTGGTATCTCCCCAATAAGTAAATTCTGACTTAAGTCTAGATTTTGAAGGCCATTTATGTAGCTTACTGAAAGTGGAATGCTTTCTCCAAGTTTATTCTTGCTCAAATTCAGGTCCAATAACTTTGAGCACTCTCCAAGTTGATTAGGAATCGGTCACTCAAATTGTTTGATGCAAGTTAAGATGTTCTAGATTTGAAAGAAACTCCAATCTCTGGTGGAATTTTGCCTGAAAGTTGGTTACCACTTAGCAAAAGTTTGTACATCAATGTCAATGCTCCCAATTCCTTGGGAATCTCACCAATGAGATGATTTGAAGAGACGTCGAGTTCGTGTAATTGAGTTGCATACTTCAGCTCAGGTGGTATCTTTCCAGAAATGTTATTATTGGAGATTTGTAGGCTTGTTAGATTATGGCATTGCCCCCAGTTTGGCGAAAGTTCACCATAAAATTTGTTGTTGCTTAATGCAATATAATTCAAATTAGGACATATGCCAAAAGCTTCTGATATATTTCCTGTCAACTGGTTTCCTTCAAGCCTAACTCTGATTAAGCTTTTGCAGTTTCTTAAACTTGATGGGATCGGACCCCTCAAATTGTTGTTAATAGCCCCAAGCCTTTCGAGTTGTCCACCGAGGCATACATTCTTGGGTAATGGACCACTGAGATGGTTTTCCGATATTTGGAATGATTCCAAATGAGTAACATTGTTAAGTGTTGGAGGAATGAAGCCAGATAAACTATTGTCGGAAAGGTATAAGTGCCTAAGCTTCGTCATGTTTCCTATGGAAGCAGGGATTGAACCAGAAAAATTGTTTTGATTGACAATAAGTTCTGTAAGAGATACAAGCATCCCTATCTCTTGAGGTATTGACCCGGAGAGCTTATTTCCAAGAAGGTAAAGACTAAACAAATTGGTTAAGTTTCCTATGGAATTAGGGATGACACCAGTGAGATTATTACTTAACAACTGCATTGTAGTAAGAGATCCCAGCTGTCCCATTTCGTTGGGGATAGAACCAGAGAGGTTATTATCATACAGATAAAGCCATACCAAGTTACTTAGGTTTCCCAGAGATGCTGGGATAGGACCAGTCAGTTGGTTGTTTGAAAGATCAAGCATATTAAGTGAACTCAACCTTCCGAGTTTTGAAGGAATACTTCCAAAGAAATTATTCTGCGACAAGTCAAGTTTAGTGAGCTTGGAAATGTTGCAAACCTCTTCAGGTATAGAACCACTTAGATGGTTAACATAGACATAGATCTTGGAAACTGAACTCAACCTCCCTATTTCTTGTGGAATGGAACCATTGATCTCATTATTTGCTAAGGAAATCAACTCAAGACTTTTCAATAAGGAAATTTCCGAGGGAATAGTCCCAGAAAAAGTATTGTATGACAAGTCAAGGTGGGTGAGCTTGGAAAGGTTCCCAATATGTGAGGGAATGGGCCCATATAGTGAGTTGTTACGAAGGTTAAGCGACACCAGGTTAGGGAAGAAAAAAAAGTTAAGACTATGAAGTGTACCTTTCAAGTTCAACATATGATCTGGAAGGCTTAGATTGGTGATGGTTCCAGTCATGTTGCAAGTGATTCCGACCCAGTTGCAATGGTTGCTTCCAACCCACGAAGAGAGCAAAGTTTGGGTGTTGTTGTCAAGGCTAGCTTTCCATTTTAGAAGAGTTTCTGTTTCATTTGCAGCAATGGAGGATGAAGAAGAAAAAACAGAGGGGATTTGATACAGGACGACTATGAGGAAGAACAGGGCTTTGAATGGTATTATGAAAGATGCCATGATTTGAATGGTTCAAAAAGTATTGTTTGTTAATTGCTGTAAATTACAATGGCTGGCATGGTCAGGTATTTATGCAAAATACTAGAGCAATTCAGTCACTGTGAAACGTCCAAATCAAGTGAAAGAATGCAACTTCAACACCTGCCAGTCTTTTACGTCTAAAATGCAACTCCAATACGTGCTGGTCTTTTACGTTTAAATAAATTTCGTGGAATTTTTTTTATAAAAAATTATAACATAGAAAAAAAATTATAAATATTGATATTTAAATTTTAGATTTATTATTATTGTATAAATGAATTGAATTAAAATTTAAACTTTCCCATAAATAATAATTTTTTATATTTTATTTTCTTTTATAAAGTAAATAAAAGATGATTTTAGTTTAGTTAATTTGCACTTATTTTAATAAAAAATAAAGTTAAAAAAATTCATGATAATTAATTTAAATGAAACTTATATGATACATCAATCGAATTAAACTTGATAAATGAGTTTATAAGATTACTACATATCATTAGGTCATAATTAAAAAAAATAAGTACGTAGAGAAATTAATGAATTAAAAATTATTTAATATAAATTTTTTAAATTTTATAAACAAAATTAAAAAATTAACATGTATTTTATAATAATATATTTATAAAAATTAATGAATTTTTAAAAATTCTATCATCAATATATATGCATATAGAATAATAATTCAATTATTAAATGAAGATACCAATGTCGTAAACTATAATTCAACAGTCAAATCAATATATAAAATAATAATTCTAAAATATATGTAAATTTTTATTCATTTAATTTGGTTAAAGTATCTTTTTTTGGCCACCAATTTCCAATATGTTCATGGTACCAATTAAATAATAAGTCGAAAGATATATAAGAATCATTTAAATTATAGTGCAACATAAAAGATTTACGACTCATTTAGATAGATAGTGAGATTAGCTCTCGTAAAATTAAAAATAATGGTAACTGTAACGGTAAGATTGGATATGCAATTGTGAGGTTAAAATTAATAATTGAATATGTATTTGAATGTAAAAGCAATGGTAATAGTGATATGAAAATAAAAAATGATTACTTTAGACATTAATCTATTAACAAATTAAAAAATTATTTTAATACATATTTTAAATTTATTTAATATTTAAAATATTAAAAATTAATTATTTAAAGATATAATAAAAAATGATAATGTGAGTAGAAACAAAATATTAATTTTAAATTTATTATAATTATTTTAATCTTAATAAATTTTTAAAGAATGGGTAAAATGAAATTAAAAGAATTTTATGAGGACAAAAATGTCCAAAATGGAATGGGGTGAGTCACTGCATCCTTTTCACCAATGGAGATTATTCTTCCGACTGAATCGCACTGTAATAAAGCTATTCAAATGGATAATCACAGTGGGACTATAGAAAAAAGATACTTACTCACACCACGAGGTTACAGTGTAATCCAAATTGAGCCTTAAATAAATTAAAAGAAATTTGTAAGTGAAGTTTTAAAATCATATATATTTCAGTCTCAATTTCTAAAATTTAATATCTATTTTATTTTTATTTAGATAAAAAATTAAAATTTTTATCAAATTGGGAAAAGATTGACATTTCTAATGCAATAAAAATTATTTAGGGTTCATTTAAATGGGTAATAAGATTGATTTAGATAAAATTAAAAAGGTAAGATTAAATACTACATTTGTAAAAGAAAATTAATTATGAATAAATATATTTCGATACAAATGAAAGATAAAACTGAGTTTAGTTATAGTTAGAAAAGAAACAATCATTAAGTATATTATATTAAAATTTTTATGTAATATAAAATTTAAATTATTTAACATTTATAAAATTAATAAATAATTAAAAATTCATTAAATTATTTTTTATCAAATAATTATTGATAAATAATTAAAAACTAAAAATTAATAATATATCAAATGATATTTTTTCTTTAATTTTTTATTAATGAAGTAGTTATCTATTTTTAGTTAAAGTTTATTTTTAGTTTATAAAACAATATTTAGTTATTAATTTTTTTATATAATAATAAAATAATATTTTTAATTAATAAGATAATAATAATTTTATCTATTTATAAGTTTATTATATAATAAAAATCTTCATTATATTAAATTAAAAAATTATTTCACAATTTATTAATTAAAAAATAAAAATAAAAATAAAAATGTCAAAAGTCTCAAAAAGTATGGTGTGGTGAGCCACCACAGCTCTTTCCTGTAAATGGAGTTCGAGTCTTCCTTTCAAGCATAATCAGATTGTGCCTTCACGATCCAAACAGCAAAGCACAGTGCAATTCTATAAAAAAACGCTTAAATGCAGTAAACACTGACACCAATTCATTTTAGAGGACTGCTAGGGCAGTTGAAAAAACACTTAGATGTTGTGAAGCCACGTCATTCAAGTTTTGCAACTTAAATCAGATACCTGTTGTTACAAGTTGTTTAATATCTTTGATTGTGAGATAAAAAGGACAAATCATTATTTTTTACCTTTTCCAATATTAACTTAATGCACTGCACCAATCAAGAATGGAAAATCTGACTAAGATTTACCCATACTCAAAATAGTGGGAAGTAATTTTAACTTTAAAATGGAATTTAATAATAATTTAATTTAAAATTTAATTTAATTCATTTAAACAATAATTAAATTTGTTTTTTCTTTGAACACTCACTATTTAATATCCAATCACAATCTACCACCAACCTACCTCAACACCCAACAAATACCAATTATAATAAATAAATACCTCAGAAAAATCCTAAATTCATTAGTATACTTTAATATTTGATCATTTAGATTTCATTTATTGTGCTCAATATTTTTTTTGTAATAATAGAAATGACTTTTTTTTTTATTTTTAATTAATAATATATGTTGACTAATTAAATTGTAAAAAAATTTTCAACAATTAAAAAAATGTTTAATTGAAAAAATAATAGAAATATATTTATTTTTTTATGTAGTAAACATTTAAAACAAATCCAATCAAGATATACTCCACAGCAATAGAAAGCCTTTGAAAAATATAATTTATGAAGTTATGACATATAAAATTATGCCATTACTAAAAAATATCATTACTGAATTTTATAAATTATAACAACAATATGATTTATAATTGATTTTTTTACATATAAAATTATTATCAATTCCAACAAATGCAAGAAGATATATGAGTAGTTGTTGCTGGTAAAAAACCAAAACAAAATGCAACCTTGGCATTATAGAGTTACTGAGTACTGAGCTAGCAAAGTTTTAGATAATTAATCCTAACACTATTCGATGTCAATGTAATATATGTTATTTTTGACATCTAGGTGAATATGATTTATTCTAACTTTGAATAAAACAACCTCTATTCATCCTAAATTTTTTAGTACAAAAAGTCAATATTAATTTAATCAATGGATTAAAAATTTAAGGAGAAAAAAGTGAAAACATTAAAAATATGCAAATATGTTATTTTTTTTAATGTGTGTTTGATAAGAAAATTTGAAAGATAGATAAAAAATATATTTTTTATTTATTATTTGATAAATATATTCTTTAATATGTAAGCTAAATTGAGATATAACATGAAGTAGAATTAAATTTATTTCATATAAGATTTGAAATTTTGATTCTTATAATATTTTATTTAATATCTTGGAATCAAGTTATTTGATAATTAAAACTAAATTATAACTTTAAAATACATATAGATTTTTAAAATATAAATAAATCGACCACAAATTTTTAATAAGTTATTAAATTTAACATGACTTATTAGTAGTTCCACCAACACATTAAAAATGATAAATTTAGGTGAACTTTTTAAAGTCAAATTTGAAATATTCCTTACTAATAAAAATTTTTAATTGATAAATTGATAGAGTTAAAAAAATCGATAATTTAAATAAAAAATAAAAAATATCATTTATAATTTAATTTTGGTCAATATTTATTCACCTGTGAAAATATCTATCTAAAAAATATATCAAATTTGACTTATAAATTTGTAATTAAAGAAAAATTGATAGTTAAATTAGATTATTTCAAATTTAGATTTTAAAAATTAAATAGTTTCAAATTTAAGTCATTTAATAGATTCAATTTTTGTCTAGAAAAGTTAAAGTTCTACAAGGATTTACATACAAACATACTTTTACATCTTCCAATTAAAGATATCATATTACTTTTTTTTTTCACTTTTATGATAAATTACTTCATCCCAATCATTCTTTTTAAAATTTTTAATATTATTCAATCACTTTCAAAATTAGTAATAATATTTAAGGCTATTAAATTAATATTAAATTTCTTTTAATTAATTAATTATTTTTTCTTAATTGATAATTTTTATAATAAATCATAAGGGTAAAAGGATCTTTTGAAACTTATTCTATCATATTTTTTGAACTAATCAAATATAATACTAATTCCTCCTTTATTCTATTAGAATAACCAAATTTCATAATACATATTATATTCTATTCCTTTTATTTTTTAGTTTCACAAAATACCAATTTCATTCCACAAACCAAATGTGCCATGAGTTCTTACATTTTTGACAATCGATAACTTGAGGTATAAACTAGACTTATGTTTAGAAATCATATGCATGCCAATTATGATGTTTACAACAAATAAATTCAATTTTGGATTCAGTTTTCTATGTTTATATTTTCGTTACTTATTATGTTTATACATGTTAAATGTTTGTGTGACAAATATTATCTAATCGCTACAATTTTTAGTGATTAATTTAAACTATTTAAATGAACATATGAACTATTATTGTTCAATTTTATAACACTGCCCTTAAAAGCATAAAAAATCTTTTAAAAAATTATAAATTCTTTAATAATATACATTTTAAAGTTTTGAATAACTTTAAATGATTAACTTAATTTAATGGGTATCTAAACAATAAATTTTGATAATGTACGGCCTTTTAAAGGGTGCCACATGGCATCCATC